ATCGGTTCTTACGCAGACAGCCTCTTAATCAAATGTAGTGCTATAATAACACGCGCAGTGAACCTAGCAAAAACTGATGTTTCAAAGGCGTCTGACAAAATTTTGTAATTTGGCCTTTAATAGAGTTCACTTCAGATTTCACCGTAAGAGCTCGAAAATGTCGCTCGAATCATCAGCCCTGCGGTACCGACAAAAACGACTATTTATAGCCCTCAGAGGCGATGTTGCAATTTGGCCTGGTTTTTGGCTAGAGATAAGACTAATGTAAAATTAGAGCTCCCGAATATTAAAATAATTATAATCTTCTTAACGTAGCAGAAATCCATGAGTCAGATGCGTTTGAAGAGAATTTGCAAGTTGGCCATTTTTTGCGTCGAAAAGGGATTAACTTTGGACTTTATAATAAGAGCTCCAAAAGATCGCTGTTATGATCAGCACCGCGGAACCAACAAAACGACTATTCATAGCCCTATGAAGCGATGTTTCAAATTGGCCACGTTTTTGGTAAGAGATAGGGGTAATATCAAATGTTAAGCGTTAGAGGTCCCAAATATTGCTATGATGATAATATATTGATTTAGCCAAGGCTAAAAGGGAAGCTCCCGTTACTAAATTCACAATTTAAGTCAAACAATAAACAAGTAATTCACAAGTCAGTTAAATTTAGGGCACATTCACGTGAATCTGAGGCAAAGGCTTAGCGGTTTTACAGAAGAATAATTTCACAGTCCAAGAGTGAACCAAATTTTACATCGAGTTAATAGTCTTATATGTACACCCAAAAATAGCAATCATGTTCGATCACAGTAGATTAGGACAGCCCCGAAATATAATTTTATGAAACACACGATAGTCCTCGGTGGGAACCAATTTACACATTCCATTCCTCTGTCTAAAAGGGTGGCCAAATAAAAAATCAGGCCAGATCTTTTGTGTTCGACCAGGTTACTTTGGAAGAAAATCTTGGCGACAAATCTGGTGGCGTGTAAACCAGCCTTTTAAATATACTTTTTCATTACGTCTGAGATAATCAGTACTATGAGGCGCTGTTGTTTTAATCAAACAGACCTCGGTCAGAATTTGTTCTTTTTTGCCCTATTTAAACCTATAATTCGGCAGTTTTTCACAATTTTGCAAGACAAATTGCTCTCATT